ATGCATCCTAAGAAAGAGACAAATGATATATACAACTTTAAAATGGGAGACATTTATTACTAAACAGACTGCAGATAAATCTCTCCACTCCCATCTTACTAAATACAAGCTTTCTGCTTAGACAATCATTTTACCAAACACAAGAACATTGGCAAAACTTCTAGGTGTCAACTTGTAACTCCAAAGGGCACACTTTTTAACACTAGTCTTTATTCCACTGCTGAGTGAGCATGTAACTTTTCCAGTAACCTCCCTCCTGTTTCTTGGTATTTTTATTAACAGCAGGAGAACAAAGATACCTGTCCATTGCCTGCGTTATAGTGCCATCATGAGAACTGGCATTAAACCCTTACTTTTCATGCTCACACTATAACAGTTTCTGTAAGGAATGAATTTTAGAAAAATATAAAACGTTCATTGCCCCCTAGGCACTTAATTGTTTATGGAAAATAAGTGCATAAGAATTGGAAAGTAAAGTGAGAATTATTATAATGAAATAGAAGTCAGTTCTAGATTCAAATCTTGGCTCAGGAGCTGCTTAACTTCTGTGCTTTGACTTCCTCATGTTTAAAATGGGAATAATGATATATTCTGTACAGAGCTGCTGGTTTGGGGCTGAGTGACTGGGTTTATGACCCAGTATTTGCTGGTGGTAAAATCGAGAAGAAATGTTTAGGAGGAGAAAAGCAAGAGTCTTCTTGGTACTCGTCAGGGTGAAATGCCTTTCAGACATCTAAGGAGAGTCATCAGCAAAGTCAGGAAGCCAGATTAGAGGACCTGAGGGGTGGGTAAAGACAGAGAAGACAGCAGGATCTGACTGCAGATTGATTAGGAGAACCCAGGAATTCAGGAATGGAGGCTGAGAAGCAGAAACAGCCAGTGAGCAGGAAGAATGAAGAGAGAGACTGACCTGTAGGCAACCAAGTGAGGACACTGCTGTAAGGGCAGGGAGTGATCAGTGATGGTGAATCACACAGTGGGAGAAGGTCTGAGAAGGGACCACTGGGTTGAGCAACGTGAAGGTCTTTGTTCATCTTCACAAAGAGCAGCTTTAGCAAAGTAGTAGGACTGAAAACCTGGTCAGGAAAGGAAGAGTGTAATGAGCAAGCATGGAATACAAGAGAAGGAAGTAGGGTAGTAGCTGGAAGGGAAGATAACACCAACGTTTTTGGTTTTTTCCTGCTTTTTAATATGAAAGAAATAACACTATATTTGTGTGCTGATGAGAACAACCCAGTTAAAGAGGGGGGAAGATGATGGTGGCAGAGGAGAGATGGGGCAATGCAGGGAGGAACTCCCTGGGTAAACGAAATGGGATGGAAAGTGCAGCCCGAGTGGAGGAATGTGGCCAGTCTATGTGGAGTGAAGTAAGGAAGGCAGAGTCTGCACCATCTACAAAAGCAAGTAGACTTTATTCAGTGACAGGTGTAGACAGAGGTTCTTTTTCTTAAGAGCACATTTTTTTAGAGCAACATTAACACACACGCATGCTAATGAGTAATATTTCAATAGCAAGCGATTTATGTGATGAAAAGAAGGAATTTCATATTTTTATTATTCCACAGAGTTCTAATATCTCTGTCACTAGCTTGCTCTCTCTCCTTTCTCTTCATCAAATAATGATGGTGTACCGTGAACTGACTGGTATGATTAATTCTACCTTTGGCACCGAAGTTCCAAAATGAAAAGAATTCATTATCACCAACCAAATCCTCAAAATCACGAATTCTTCTGAGCTATTCCAATTACAATAAGTTTACCATGGCTGTAAAACTGCATCTTTGTTTAACGTGTACTGGGACCTTAGAAAGTTTAATACTGAATTGTCTTGTAACATTTGGCAAAGGAGGTTCCTGGTGAAGAGCTGCAGAGCTACAAGACTTTGTCTTTTGACATTGAGCCTTTCATTTTTTTTTTAAAGCAAGAATCAGCTCAGCTCTTCACAGTTGTTGGGCTCTGTTTACCAGATAATAGTAGTACGTGACACTCACCATGCACTGAGAGCCTATTCTAAGTTCTTCAGGTTATTTAATCATCTTAACAACTCTACACCTATGTGATGAGTACTACTGTTTTTCCTGTTTTGTGGTGGGAAACCTGAGACACACAACTTGCCCAAGTTCATGCTGTTGGTAGTGGAGGAGCCAGGATTCCAACCAGCAATTTGGCTTGAGTGTGTGGGTTAATCATCCTGTCATAGGCCACCAGGGTTAGAAATAGGAAAATAAGTATAATACAGGTCCTCTCTGCAAACATTCAGATGGTACAAAGCCTTAGAGATTGATGACAGATAAGAGAATCAAGAGCCAAAATGTTCTCAGAAAGCTGAACATTCAGTCCAAACCCACTGAATAAGACTGACCTAGAAAGAATGTGAAACCTGAACTTTGGTTCCAAAATGAAATGCATCGACACAGGATAAGGGAAAAGTGATGTGCCCACAAGGTCTCTGAAAAGGATCTGGGTGTTTCTGGTGACTACCCGCCCAACATGAGCCTCATGAGATGCTATAACTCAGGAGTGAAACATTGGTCGTAATGGAAAAGGGTGTGAGGCTAATGAATGGCCCCAATGCTCTGGCCAGCTGTGATGACACCCGAGTCTCCTACCACAGGAAACAGTCATGTTTTTAGAGGGAAATTGACAAGCTACTGTCTGTGTAGATGTGACGAGTGGAAAGGGGTGGGGGATATTGAAAGGGATAAAGAAACTAAAGGCATATCTTCTTTAATATTTGTGCATGCTATGGAAGAGACATTTATCTTCAGAGAACAGAAAGAACCAAGACCAAAAGGCAAAAGTAATGAAAAGACTTGGGGCTCTTCCTTGGCCCCACCACCTGTCCCACCCTGACCCATGCCCTGTCTTCAAGGCTAGATGACTTCACAATTAGGGTCTCTAATTAATCACTTTCCCTGATTGATAGAATACTCAGTTCAGCTAAGGGTTGGATACAGTGGAATGAATGGTACAAGGTCTTTCTATGAAAGTCTTTCAAAATAAGATTGATACTTCTTCTGTTCCATGTGGTTCTTATAGAACCAGAGCGTTAGTAACAAATATTTGAGGAGCATCCAGGGGCTCTGGAATTTTAATTATTCATTACACTGCAACTGTGTTCTTTGGGAATGGAATGATCTCAACAGTTGGGCTTGGAACTCAGAAAAATTGATGTGTGGGTCCCACCAGGAATTCTTTTTTTTTTTTTTTTTTTTGGCAGTTTTTGGCCGGGGCTGGGTTTGAACCCACCACCTCCAGCATATGAGGCTGGCGCCCTACTCCTTTGAGCCATAGGCACTGCCCCAGGAATTCTGATTTAACTAGTAATGGGTGTGAACCTGGGCCTCAGAGTTTTTAAGAGCTCCCCAGGTGATTCTAACAAACTGCCGGGGTTGAGGACTCCTGGGTTCCATGACCTGCCTAATATGATGTCATAAGTAGGGATTAAATGGCTTCCCAAATCTTTATAATCAACAAAAGTCACTCAGGAGAAATTCCATTATCATTCTCTATTACTATTATTCTTATTACTCACTTATGGGCTAATTCTATTGATAAGAATACTTCCAAATGGCCAAACTTAAGCAGAATTCTAGGCTCACACCACAGTGCTTTTTTGAAAACACAAATCTCTTTTTATTGGCATCTTGTTCATTATAGTATTGGCAGATGATAGCTATTTTTCCATTAGAACCTAAGCATATTGTTTTCTATAAAAGTCAATATGAATACAATACAATAATTCTGGGTTATTACTATTAGAGATTAGACTGAAATTAATGACCTAGAAATGAAACAAATAAAAACATTGGGACCAGTTAATTCCCAGAGCTCTCCAGCTCTCCAAAGCACTTTTCCTAATACTTGAAATGTATCTCAAGGAAATAAACTCCCTTCTGGTTTCCTTCTTGTTTTTGCTTTGTTTTGTTTTGTTTTGTTTTAAGGTTTAAGATGATGCAGTAAAACATGTCTCATTTGCTAATTCATAGTTCATAAGCCCATGGTATTCTTCTGTTTATAGAAGTGTTTTATATCTTCCTTGATAAGAATTATCTTTTTCTTGGAAAAAAAATTTTTTTTAATTTAATATGTGAAGAAATGATGAACGGCAATAAGTGTGCTAAGTCAGCAGTAACACCAGCTTATTTTTCCATTAATTTCTTTTGTGGGGAGATAAATTTGCAGCTGCTTAAAACCAACTGTTTATCATTCTCTTGGGGTTGTGGTTCAGGGAAATTAGACTATCATGTCTGCCTAGAGAAAGTGCTGATGTGGAATATTGAATTGGAAGAGGCCTTAGAACATCTTCCCTCTGGTGTAAAAGTCTGGACAGTGGGGCTCAGCTACTCCCCTGAAGGGCAGCTCCACAATTCACCAGAGTATCACAAATTGTAACACTGTTTCTTAGAACCCTAGACCCATAACTTGAACTTGAAGGTGCAAGGTGTCCATTTTATAAACAGGGGCCAGACAGGCTGAGTTTTCTGAGTCTCACAGGTATGATAGGCTAATATGGTTATAGGCATGGCCTTTGAAGTCCACAGCCCTGGGTGCAGAGCCCAGCTCCATGACCTTTGCGACCTTGAGCCTCTATTCCTCTATCCATAAGGCATGATAATTCTTCCTTTATAGCATTAGTTTGAAAATTAAGTTAAATACAGGTAATATGACCTGGCATAGTTCCTGGAATCTGACAGAGCAAGCAGCCCATACCTGCTGGGCAGTTATTCAACTTCCTCTTTCTTCCTGTCAAAACCCTCCTCCCTTCTTCCAAACTAGTTCCCACATCCCCTTCCCTTCTGCATGGGGCATCTTTACTGCTCCTACACACGGGGTTCACCTTTCTCCTCTCATTTTTGGTATCTGTTTATGTTTTGATTTCTAGAAGAAACGTGTAATAAATGATTGAATGGATGAACAAGGCTGTGTTGAGACTAAATCTCTGCCATGTTGCAGGTATGGCAACCCGTTTGACTGTCCTCAATTCTCTTCCTCCACAGAGGCCTTTCTGACTAACCACAAGGAAACCATCACCGTGGAAGAAGGCCAGAATCTCACTCTGAAATGTGTCACTGCTCTGACCAAGGCTGCCTCCCTCCAGTGGCTGACTCCTTCCGGGTTCACCATTTTTTTAAATGAGCGTCCTGGTAAGTGAAAGAAAGAAATAAAAAAGCTGCCACCAGACCTCAACCTGAGGGATATTCCATCCAGGGACAGAAAGCCTCCTGCATGAGTCACCCAAAGGTTAGGCTTAGCCTACGTACTGTTACATGCGAATCACACCTCTGAAGCCTTTTATTTCACACAAGGCTTTCTGGGGGCAGGAAGTCTGAAATGGAAACCCCACCAGAATGGCTGTTAAAGGGGACTCAGATTACATAGCACATTTCCAGTCCCCACCCCCTCATCACTTTTTGATTCTCAGCAACTATGACACGACCACAGCAAAATGATAGGCAGTGGCCTGACTTGGAGCTCTTTGCCCTCATGTGGCCAAGACCATCACCTCACATCTGGAGCCAGCTGCTTCTTTTTTTGTCTGAACAATCCAAACTCATGTTCCACAGCTCCCTTCCAGATATCTCTTCTTCTCCCTTGGTCTTAACATAAAATTGAGCCTTTTTTAAGCAATAGAAATTGACAGGTTGTATGACCTTGGAAGTGAGGGAAGCCATTTCTCTCTTCACAAACACACATGAACTGGACATAGGATGGGTGAGATGGAAAAGGACTCCTACATCTGTCTGGTTCATCTCTTTGACGTTGGGCCCAATTTTACTAAACACTTCCTCTCATAATTTTATAATTACCTTCAATATTCGTAATTGCCAAATACTTGGGAAACTCTCTAAAACAGCAAATTTTATTCTTTTTTTTTTTTTGAGACAGAGCCTCAAGTTGTCCCCCTGAGTAGAGTGCCATGGCATTACAGCTCACAGTAACCTCCAACTCCTGGGCTCAAGCGAGTCTCCTGCCTCAGCCTCCCAAGTAGCTGGGACCACAGGCGCCCACCACAACGCCCGGCTATTTTTTGGTTGCAGCTGTCATTGTTGTTTGGCGGGTTCGGGCTGGATTCGAACCCGCCACCTTAGGTGTATGTGGCTGGCGCCTTAGCCGGTTGAGCTATAGGCGCCGAGCCAGCAAATTTTATTCTTATTTACAAAGCAGAACCTCTGAAAAAATTGACATGCTTTGAAAACATCATTAAATACTGGTATGTTATATATAAAATAACCAATTACATTATTTCAGACTAAATAAGTTTTAGTACTAGATTCCAATAGAATAAGAAGATACTAATTGTTAGTTCTGAGGGAAAATATTTTCAGTAGAGATAATTCTCTTAAAAAAATGCTTTTTGTTGTTTTGCTTTGTTTTTGTTTTTGAACTTAGAGAACATTCTTGGACCTTCTTGGATTTCTGCATCAGGGCAGCTTGATCTGCCTTGATGGGTCTCAACCTGAAGTGATCTTGCCTTCCAGGGAACACTGGACAATGTCTGGAGATAGTTTGAGAGGGGGATGCTGCTTCTGGCATCTAGGGGGTGGAGGACAGAGATACCACTAACCTACAATGCACAACACAGCCCCCCACAACAAAGAATTATTAATTCAAATGTTAATAGAGCAGAGATTGAGACCCCTAAATTCTAGTTCATATAATATCAGAGCCACCAGACACACAACCATTGTTCCAGATGAGGAAGACCTTCCTTGGTCAGCCATTCAAGATTTCACTATCTTCAGCATATTCATATTATAAATCTTAACAGTAAAAACCAAACCAAATAAACAAAAATACTCATTTCATAAGGCTCTGATTTGCTAAGGAAACTTTGATGGCAAATGGAAATGCCAGGTCAACAAACCATCAAGAAGAGCATTTGCTATTGGATGGAAATTTCTGGAACTTTCCAGAGCTTGCTTTTTTGCCACTGGCTAAACACCTGAAAGAACTAAATCATAATCTGTGGGAAATTTCAAATAATAACAATCCTTATAAAATTAAAAATAAAAGGCTCCTGGCTGGTACATTTATCAGTGCATTTATCTCCCATTTTTTCCATTCATTGTGCCCAGATGACTTCAAGTGAACCAGATTTTTACCAGGTAAATCACAGTGAGGCATCTTTCAGTCAAAAAAAAAAAAAAAAAACCTAAAAATCTGCCTGTAACCTGAACCCTTTGCCAGCAAGGCACTCTTAATTTCCTACTAACACAAATAAAACAATTTGCTAATTTCACAGATCCTACTATCAAAATATTTCACTTTCTAAACTAACTGTGAGAGGCCTCAACTGGGAACACTAGGATTTGGAAGGCAGCTCACAGGCATGACATTTCTTCCCTTTAAAGTGTGAAAATCAAAAGCTATTCCTGTGAATGATCAATCTGGATGCATCTGATACCTTTCCTCATTATAGCTCTATTTCCTTCTCGTACAGCTTTTAAAAATTCCAAATACCAGCTTCTTCATCACTCAGCCAATCAGCTCTCCATCACTGTGCCCAATGTCACCATGCAGGATGAAGGCGTATACAAGTGCCTACGTTATAGCAGCTCCGTGAGCACAAAGGAAGTGAAAGTGATTGTGCTAGGTACGTACGCTGGGCAAGTAAACCCAGGATGGGAGTGCTATACAGAGGGTGGCAAAAATTTGTATACACATTTTAAGAAAGGAAAAAGCTGTATTAGAACTGTAATACTCCATAAAAATCAATAACAAAAGATGGATACAAGTCACACTGAGCCTGTCTTGTGATTGCAGAAGTCAAATGTAACCTGAGTGGTAACATTTAATAGTTTTTCTGTCTTAAAATGTGTTTTTTTTGGCGCCCCCTGTAGTTCTAAACACAACATACCATCCTTAAACTGAACAGTTTACTTAAAAAATGTTGACTGTAAGGAGGCATTTCCTGGGGCATCGCTACCATCTTTTATTGAAAGGAAACAGAAGAGAGAAAAAGCCCTAGATTGAACTGTGTACTTGTGAAATTAGTCTTAGGCATCACCAAACTTTTCTTTCCAGGAAACTTAAAAGGAAAGAGGCTTAATATTTGAGGAGCCGTGACTTTGTGCCACCAGGGAACCAAAGATGAGTTAGGCACTCTCTCTGCCTGTAACGGGTTTGCACTCTAGTTTAGGGAGCAAAACATGTATGTAAGTGCCATGGAACCTCGTCACAGCACATCCTAAAAGAGGGAATTCAGACGTAGCCGCGCTGCGTGATTTGCTCACATCCTGCGCTGAAACAGTTCTCCTCTCCTGCTGGGGGGTGGTGTTGGGAGGTAACAATCTGAAGTGACAGCCTCCTAATCATCTAGGACTTAGTCCTGTAGACGGTCAGCTGTGTCCAGTATATGCCTTAGTATCTTTACATTTTTGCTTTTTGTAGCACAACAGATAGACTTAAAACATTGCTTTTTATTAGACTCTAAGTAACATCAACCCGCATATCGCACAAATGAGTTTCTTAAACTTCTCTTGTTGAATTATTGTAGTGTTTCCCACCAAGTCCAGTCACAGTGGGAGAGCAGCTGAGAAGAAGGTTTTGAGAACCAGCATGACTCAGTTCAGGGTTGCCTTCCCCCAGCCCCACAGGCCACTTCCAACACCATCCCTGCTCAGGCTGCTGTGTACCCTCTGGGATTCCAGGACACCCTGCGCATAATTCTATCATTACACTCCACCCATGTTCTTTGTTTTCTTTCAAAATATTAAGGGAATACGAATGTTTTTGCTACATGGATAGTTTTTACAATGCTTAGGGTAGGGTTGTTAATGTGCCTATCACTCAAATACTGTTTATTGTACCTGGTAGGTAGATTTTCAAAGTGATCTTTTAATTAACCAGTTCAGGGGCTGAGTCTACCACCAGACTATTAGCTCCTTGAAGGACCATCTTTTTCATCTTTGTTTAGTTAGTTTGTTTATTTGTTTGTTTTTGAAGCAAAGTCTCAGACATCCTGGGTAGAATGCCATGGCATCATCATAGCTCACAGCCATCTCAAACTCCTGGGCTCAAGTGATCTACCTGCCTCAGCCTCCCAACTAGCCGAGACTGTAGGTGCCTGCCACAATGTCCAGCTAGTTTTTCTTTCTTTCTTTTCCTTTTGTCTCAACTCCTGAGTTCAGGCAATCCACTCATCTTGGCCTCCCAGAGTGCAAGGATTACAGGCATGAGCCACTGTGTCCGGCTTTTTCATCTTTGTATTGCCAGAGTATAACAGTATCTAATGCATCCTTGGAGCCAATAAATGCCTTTCTAAAGTCTTGATGGGAGATGAGTGAGTTAGACAGATGTGGAAGAGTGCAGTTCTGAACTAAAGTGGAAGTAAAATGGGAAAGAGGAAGAAATAAGCCTAGCTGAAAGGTATTTCCAAGACAGAAGTACACAGAAAAAGGACCAATGGGCCTTTTATAAAAGAAACGTACCTACAAGGTCAGAGGGGACACAAGTAACTTACTTTGAGGTGATAGATTCATGAAAGTTTACAGCTGAAAAAGCCCACTACTTCATGTCACAAACAAGAACACTGGTATATCAAGAAGTCAGGGAACTTACCCAAGCACTTATAACTAGTCGGTGACCGAGATGGGACTAGAATTCAGGCCTCTATTCCTCACCTAGTACTCTACCAACCAAGGACAGTCATTTCACATTTAAGAAGTGCTACATAATCTACTTGGGAATTTGCAGGGACTAATCACACACTGAGTTACAAACATTCTGACTTCAGCTAAAGTAGCTTTACAGCCCCTTAACATATCTATATTCTGGAACAGGTCAAATAAAAGATATACCCATTAATTAGACTCTGTCCAATAATGATCCCTACAGATTATTAGGCTCTGTTCTTCACTGAGATGTGTAGACAAACTACTTAAGCTCAGAAAAATCCATTTTCTTCTAGCAACTCCTCTCAAGCCAATCCTGGAAGCTTCCATCGTCAGAAGCCAGAACAGAGAAGACCACATTGTATTTAAATGCTCCACCACGAGAAGCAAGCCCCCTCCTCAGATCACCTGGCTGCTGGGAGATGGCACGGAGCTCTTCAGTAAGTAGAGAGAGAAATGGTTGTCTTTCCTCCTTTGTTTCCTTCCTACTTAAATTTCCAAGGGATTTTTAAAATGTTTTGGCACCCTCTGGTGGCAGGAGAATTCATCAATTCTTTTCCAGACAAATTATCCTTATAACCAATCGCTATTCTGCCTTAATCTTGAAAGGCTAATGACAGATAATAAAAATGCTTTATTCACAACAGGTAGAAACCTAAAGAGGAACATTTACAATGTCTTCTTAAAAATTGACAAAGTTTCCTAAATAAGAGGAATAATATACCTATTATCTCTGGGCACAAACCTTTTAGACATAAAATTGAAAGTATATTTAAAATAATACAAGCAATTGGAACAGATAGGGTCTTCCCTACATAGTATAGTCCTGTACTATGTTATACTCACAAGCACAGATTAAAAACATTCTGGTAACAGAGAATTTAAACTTTGGGCCTTTGAAAAAAGATAACTAATTTTGGGAACTATTTATACTTTGTTTAGATTTTAATAACTAGTACCTTCAGCATCTATATAATAGCCATTTTTAGAGCTGCAAAAGGACCTTTACAGTGGAGAAAACTGAGAGTCCAATGGCATTCTGGAGAGAAAGACCCAAAACCCAGATGTGATTCGCAGTGTAGTGTCTATTCTACTTCATTATAAAACCCCTCCTTTAACTCACCTAGTTTTACAACCTGAGCAAGCGCTGGGGTCTTTGTGTTTCATGTAACATCAGGATGTTCATCTTGTATAAGCTTTGATTTTTTTTTCCCAATAGTAAAAGGTTCTAGAACCTTATCCATGCTTACTCCGCTGCTTGCCTTTGTGACCAGAGCTGAGCATATACGAAGCAGCTCACTCAGGTTAGAAATCTGTCTGCCACAAAGTCCAGGACATTGGTCTCTAATGAAACCCAACTCATCCAATAGTATCAAATAGGCACAACCTCATATATCTCTTTAAATTGCTCCACAGGTGGAGCCCACCATGAATTTGAAACTGATGGGAAGAAATGTAACACTACCAGCACTCTCACGGTCCACACCTACAGCAAAAACTCAACTGTGAACTGTGTTATCCGACACAAAGGCCTACAGGGGAAGAAACTGGTAGCACCCTTTCAGTTTGAAAATTTGGGTAAGAACAAATGATTGTGTTTAATCATTTTTAATTTACTTTAATACTGCACTATCAAACAAAATTAAATGGAGTGGGTGAAGTCCTTCAGAGTGAGACTACTGCCAGTAAAGCACTTGTTAAGAGAGAATTTTTGTCATGATCGAAATTTCTCTACCTGAGTATAGGGTGTCAACAATTCCAATGTTCAGAAGAAGCCACCTGTGTCTGGACAGGGTGGCTCATTCCTCTAATCCTAGCCCTCTGGGAGGCAGAGGTGGGTGGATTGCTTGAGCTCAGTAGTTCAAGACTAGCCTGAGCAAGAGTGAGACCCCATCTCTAAAAAAAATAGCCAGGCATTGTGGTGGGAGCCTATAGTCCTAGCTACTTGGGAAGAGCATTGCTTGAGCCCAAGAATTTGAGGTTGCTGTGAGTTATGATGACACTGGCCAACAAAGTGAGACTCTGTCTCAAAAAAAAAAAAAAAAAAGAAAGAAAGAAACCCATTTGTGCAAAAAGCCTAGTGAAGTGCCACATGCAAATAGTGTCGTAGTTGCTTTTTATAATAACAGCTAGCATAATTCTAAATAGTTTTGTTGTTGCCATGTTTTTGGAGCAATCATATGAGTCATACTACATCTTTTGCTTGACCCAAAATGAGGTAATGTTAACTGAAATAAATTTAAACTTGTCAAAATCATTTTGTTAATCTAACACATGCACACAATTACATTAAGAAGTGATTACTCTTTAAATTTATTTTATTATGACTGTTTTAAAGATTTTAATTTAGCCATGTTAAATATTCCAAGTAGAACACCATTTAAAACATCAGATATTAAATATGACAAGAAGTTGCCTCCATTTTTGGAATCTCTATTCTATGATTTCTTCCTCCAAAAGTCCAAGAAATAATTTTAAAACTACATACAACTCGGCCAGGCAAGGTGGGTCATGCCTATAATCCCAGCACCCTGGAAGGCCGAGGCGGGTAGACTGCATGAGCTCTCACAAGTTTGAGACCAGCCTAAGCAAGAGAGAGACCCCACCTCTAAAAATAGCCAGGTGTTGTAGTGGGCACCTGTAGTCCCAGCTACTTGGGAGGCTGAGGCAAGAGGATCATTTGAGCCCAAGAGATTAAGGTTGCTGTGAGCTATGGCACCATGGCACTCTACCGAGGGCAACAAAGTAAGACTCTGTCTCAAAAACAAACAAAAAAACTACATACAACTCTGAGCCAAGAGGTATCCTATAAGATGGCATGAATCACAAGTCTGTAATTAGTAGGACTCACAGATTCATTGTTTTACAACCTGTAAAAAGAGATTCCTGAAAGAGAAATCTATTGTATGATGATGCATTTATTGAAACGGCTCTTTTATCAAATGGAATAAATAAATGATGAAGAAAGGCAAGCTTGCTTAGGAGACTGTCGCTGTGGGAAAGCTGCTGTGCTGCCCTTTGGGGGCTGCAGCTGTGGTGGACAGGTCCCCCCTCACTACCAGGTGCTTTCCACGGGTCACTTTCTCACCAAACCCACAGTAGTTATCGAGGAAGTTGTGTTAGAAGGCTCGGGGCAGCACAACATCAGGGTCCATTCCCCATCCTGCGCCTCCACCCCCCTCAGTGGAATCAAAGCCCAGGGCATGTAGGGAGTAAGACTATCTGCCTCAATGCTTCCCAAAGACATTCACATTCTAAAACAAGAAAAGCAACAATGTCGAAAAAACTACATTGTTACTTTTTAGCAATTATTCACGCCTTCTACAAAAATTACCACTGAATGGGAAATGGCAATTTCTCCTCCTTTGTGGCTATAACTCTCTCTGACTCCCAATCAGAGCTATAAGTGTTTCTAATAAGAGGTTAAGACTTGACTTTTATTTGTGATCTAACTATTGTTCATCTAACATGTACTGCCGGACCCTCAAAGAGGCACATCAAGGTCAGCTGTCAGTGGTTTCCATGCTCATGACCTTTTGCCTTAGGCAAGCTACTTCCTCAACATACAGATATTATAGACATTTTGTTCATGCAATTAATTAAAACAAATTACTAACTGAGGATGCTTTGAAACACGATTACAAGTAAAGGCTCTGACTCCTTTCATCTGCATGATCTCTGCACAATAGGAGATAGGGAAAATGAGGATCACACCAGCACTTTGTGTGAGGGTCCTGAGGAAAGAAGTGCCTTCCTTTAAAAAACCCAGAGCTCAATGCTTGGAGAAAAAGAATAGAGCAACAGAAATAGATCAGAATTTCCTTGGAATTATTTATTTCATCATTTTAGTAGTCCAAAGGAAGAATCTTGGTTTTTTTAATTACTTAATCTGGGATGGGATTTAAAAAAAAAAAAATTAAGCGACAGTTTTCAAACATTGTTATTTCAGTTTTAAAAATAATTGAATATCTTTTTTTTTTTTTTGTAGAGATAGAGTTTACACTTTATCGCCCACAGTAGAGTGCTGTGGCAACACAGCTCACAGCAACCTCTAACTCCTGGGCTTAGGCCATTCTCTTGCCTCAGCCTCCCGAGTAGCTGGGACTACAGGTGCCCGCCACAATGCCTCGCTATTTTTTTTGTTGCAGTTTGGCCAGGGCCGGTTTTGAACCCACCACCCTCGGTATATGGGGCCATCATCCTGCCCACTGAGCCACAGGCACAGCCCAAAAGTTGAATATCTTAAAGGGCTTTTATTTATGTGAATAATGTCTGTCAATATTTACCTACTAGAAATTAACACTGAGAGATTTTTTTAAATATATATTTGTTATTTTTAAATAATAAATTTACTACATAAAAAATGAAATATTTTCATGAAAAAAACCTATATTTTGTAACACCAAAAAGATTAGTGAGCAAAATGACATTGTTTTGCATTTTGAAAATCTCTTGAATGTCTGGTTTAATACAAAACAATTAAGTTTTTGTAACTTTTGCATTTAGTATCTTCCAAAGTGTTGTTTTGCTTGAAATAAATATTTAAAAATTCATCCTTGCATTGGGCGGCACCTGTGGCTCAGTGGGTAGGGCGCTGGCCCCATATACCGAGGATGGCAGGTTCAAACCCAGCCCCAGCCAAACTGCAGCAAAAAATAGCCGGGCGTTGTGGCAGGCACTTGTAGTCCCAGCTACTCAGGAGGCTGAGGCAAGAGAATCGCCTAAGCCTAGGAGCTGGAGGTTGCTGTGAGCTGTGTGATGCCATGGCACTTTACTGAGGGTGATAAAGTGAGACTCTGTCTCTACAAAAAAAAGAAAAAAAAATTCATCCTTGCACAAATATTGAGTTGGAAAAGGGAAGATATTTTATTTGTGGATATTCTTCTTTGATATTACACTAAAAATCAATAAGAGTTAGTTCCTTAAAGGTTTGTTGATATGTAGATCCTAGAGCCACATCAATGAACTTTTCATACTCTGTGACCTTTGAATGAAACGTCTACCCAGGCATGATTTGTGCAACACCATGCCTTCGTCATTTGGAAAATACTGATTCACTGAGTTGTCCAGATCTTTCAAATGTTGACATATTTCAGTATCAAAATCACATTTATTAACCTAATCATTGCTCTCTTCAAAAGTATTTAAGTATTTGGAAGCTGTCAGAACCCACAGCGGTGAATACAGATTGTTCAAAATTCTAACTTGAAATGTGGCTAGTGCAACTGAGGAACTACATTTTTAATATTATTTAGTTTTTACTAATTTAAATTTAAATAGTCATTGTAACTAGTGGATATCATATTGGATCACAGAGGTCTATATCATTCCGACCAACTAGGGACTAAATCATTATGTGCTAGTATTCACCTAATCAAAAGGTGCATTTACCTAAATGCAACTATTGCAACTATTAGGTTGCATTCACCTAAATGCAACTATTTGCCAGCTCAGTCATTGAAAGAACATAAATGTAATTATCTGAATTCACACAGTACTGGACACACTATGTTAGATTTAGTTACCATTGAAGAACTATTCTATGTGTCCCCAACACTTCTCATGGAGTTCTTATACCTTATTTCAGTACTTCTATTTGATGAGCTTTACAGCTTTTCCCTCTTTTCATTACCAGCTCTCCTCTTTCTCTGATTTTCTCTGACATCTTCATGATCAAAGATCTCATTTTAGCCTTATAATCTATATTACTTAAAATCTCTAATTTAATTTCCTTAGGAGCTCTGTTTTCTCTTTTCAGATCCTTTATACACAATTCAGGTATTTTTATATTTTTCAAAAATTTTAAATGTTTGATTAATAAAATAAATTTCAAAACCAAAGAAACTTCTTTGATTAAAAAACACTGATAAACACCAATGAGTTTCATAAAGACATTACCCACTTGCCATGTCAGTATCAATATCTGTAAATTGACAAATATTGTCAGTTGTCATCTGTTCCCTGCATGCGGGCCTGTTCTTTGACTAGTGAAACCTGTGCTAAGTTGAACCTCTGGAAACATGCCCAAGCATTTATTTTTAACATTATACATTAACATTGGGCATTGTGCTTAATAAGTAGGCAGGCATTGTAATACTAAACACGTAGTATGAATGAATTTGTTAATTCTCATAGAACACTCCAAGAGGTAAATGCTGTCAGCATTTTCATTTTGCAAATAAGAAAAAAACTGAGTATTAGAGAAACTAGGCATCTTGTCCAACTCACTCAGGAGCAAACAAACAGACACACTGGAATCGATCCAGGCAGAGTCTGATTCCAAAGCCACCTAATAAACAGGTAAATAGATCTGTGGATGGGCAGATATGACAAAGGGACGGATGGACAGACACACGGAGCCACAGTGACTACCCTTTGCCGACTACTGCCAGCACACAGAGGTCCAGCATGTTGCGCTTTTTTAAGCCAGGCAGGTTAGCAGATGGGTGATCAGCGGGATATAGATTCCAGAACCAGAGCAAGAGCGACAGAGCACACAGCTCTGGGGTCTCTGCACAGCCTCTACAGGCAGGTAGCAGTCAAATATATCTCCAGTCTCCTTTACTGAGCACAATGTGGGTGAAACTGCTCTCTGTAGTTGCAGAATTTTGTTTTTCCCCTTTCCTAGTTACTGATGAAGAGACAGTCTCGGATGCTCTCGAGAGAAGCTCACTATCCTCTCAAGACACTCAGCAGCCCACTAGCACTGGTAAGTGTCAAAAACCATTAAACCTTTAAAACAAAATCATGTGTCTTTGGGAAGGTCACTTGCCTAAGTTTGGGGAATATTTTTAATTTTTAATAAGACCATACATACGCCCTTCGACTGGCTTCAGCTTTGTAGTACCCTGCAGTAAAGCCACTTAGTGCTCTGGGCTCAGGATAATAGAAAGCCTTGTAAGTTCAGTGCCAGTTTTCTTGAGGTATATATACACACACACACACATATACACGAATGAATGTGACATTTGAATTTCCTCTTAGGTAAAGGACAAGGTTGAATTTATTTATGGGGAGCCTCATTTCTTTGTTTTCCTATCTAAAGCAGACCAATCACAAAACACAGACTCCATATCAACAAAGAGCAAAGCAACAGAAGCTGGAGATTTGGTATTGTCATTGAATAACAAAATCACCTTTGAAGGCACATGAATTACTTGGCTGTCAAGAATTCAGGCCACTTTTGTTGATGAGATTGAGCTATGAAGGCAGAATCAATTAGAAAGCCCAGATTATAAATGCGGTTTTCAGACAGTAAACCCAATAGATGGTTAGCTCAGGTCAATGATCATACATTTAATTTAACTTTGTATTTTACCTTGCATAGTGTCTGGCAATAGAAGATGTTCAGAAAATTCAGTATGAACGAATGAATGACTTTGCTATGGTGCTTTTATTGTCAGTTAGCCTCATCCAGAAAGGCATAAATTTCTACATTTTTTCTTTCTATTTTATATAGTGTCTCTATAACAATATCATTTGGTAGAATAAGTGCTTTCAAATCATTACTTTGTGTATAGCTCTGAGTATCAGATCACCATTTAAAAAACTGTATTCTGAATAATATTTAAAAGTAAATGTTTAGAGGTTTTAAACACTGATAAATATAACATGTACCATACAGTTTTTTGAAGGACAATGGAAATTGAAAATATGAAATGGAACAGCCACACTGCTTGCTTTAATAATCCAATTTCTGTAAACATGTTTAGAATCTAGTTGTCTATAAATTGGCTTGCACCACTACTAAACAGGTCAATTTTCTGCTCTGCTTTTTCGTGTACAAGAGTTTTTAAAATATGGGTTCTAAAATTCCTTTCAGTTTTCAATCTCTAAGATTTGAATATTGCTAATAATAATCCATTTTCAGCAGAATGAAAGACTTCATTCCCCTCTGGGTCCACATAGTGGCGCTGTACAGCGGGCTAAAAACCAAGAGACTGCAGAGAGGAAAAAAGAAAATAGGAAAGATAACACAATCTGGAAACGAATCTCTTATTTTTATAATTTATCTTATCTAGCAAAAATGTTATGGCACATTCTACTTTTAAAGGAGAGACAAGCAGAGGTTTGAATGACAATTGAGGCTATATTTCAGCATAAAAACCATTGCTGTGTGCATGTCAGGCTGTACATTTTGTATAAAGAAAGCTCTGAATACCATTTCTGATTGATCAGTTGTTATCTTAAAGCTTCCTAAAGACCATCTCCTTAATAGGCCTGATTCAAGAAGGAAGCATGAAATAATGGTTCAAATTTGGGGCATTAGAGTCAGAAAAAAACAAGTTTAAGCATTGGTTCTGCCACTTATTTGCTCCAGAAGTTTAGGTAGTTTACTTAACCACTCCAAATCTCTGTTTTCTCAGAGGTATGTTGAGAAATAAAATATGTCAACGCTTAGTTCAAGGCCTGGTATGGAGTAGTTTCCAACAAATGTTAGCCTTAAAAAAAAAAAAAAGGCAAGGTGAGTTTAGCCATTTGCAACTATTTTTGTAAGAAATCAGTAGTTCAGAAATGATTGTTACTGTTTTTTAATAAGCATCATTTAATCTGACTTTGAAAGCTGCTGCTTTGGGAAGAACATACACACAGTTACATTGTCTGTGCTCACATACATATGACACATGCATTTATCATGTCTTACTTTTCTTCACCTTAGTCTCCGTCGTGGTGGATTCTAGTACATTAGAGACGGACAAAGAAGAGAAAGAACAAACCACTCCGGCCTTTGTTTTGCCCACTGGTGAGTAACACCCACCATATTTGGAATGAACACTTGATATTTTAATCTCTTAAGTGGTAAATCCAGTGACCTCTTTCAATCCTCCTCAATTGGCCTTTCTGCCTTTGACGACGTGATGGGTTAGGTTCATCACGCCTCCGTCCCTTCTTGATTTAGTTGCTGCCTGGTTTCTTGACATACGTTGCCTGGTCCTGTTATTTTCTGGCTAACCAGTGCTTCTCTTCATCCATTGACTAACTCCACTTCCTCTTAAATGTGAATATACATCTGATTATACTTCTTCATCTTTTATTTTTTCCTTAATTCTTAGAGAATTTATCCATTCCCAAAATTGTTCCTATTGCCACTAGACAAGAGATTTCCATACCTGTATTTCCAAAACATTCTTCTGAGCATTAGTCCTGGTTTCATTCCATATTCTATGTATCTCTATCTGAATTTTCTGCTATTTTTTCAAACTCAGGCTTGACATCACCAAAAAACAAATAGCACCTTTTTCCACAAAATTAAGCTCCTCCAAAATATTACACAGGCCCAAACCTCAGTATTATCTTTCACTCCTCTATGTGTACAAATATATAAATATACATATACTATATATGTGTGTGCATATATATAGATTCAGATGCACACACACATATATAATTAGTAGGGTTTCAAGGACTTTTGAGTCTTTTATTTCAGGTATTATGTCCATTGTCACTGCCACCACCTCCTCTAGTCTACTATCATCTTCTGCATAAAGTATTATCATTTCAGTTTCTCCTCTTCTGGTTCATTCTTAGCACTCTCCTGACAAAACGTCCCTTAATACTATGCACACCTGTGTTCTGAAAACCTTTATAGCTTCCCAAAGTCTTTAACATAGAGCGTGAGCCCCAAATTCCTCATAAAGTGCAGTCTACTACCCACCTTGTGACCCTGTTATCTATAAAGTCTCTATAAGATACATTTTTTTCTCCCCCTTTCAATTGCTCTGTTTATTCTAACTGCCTCCAGTGGAAAGAGAGATCTCATCACTCCCATCCCCACTCCTACTCCAAGGCCGATACCTTTACTAGACAGTTTTCTGTCCAACTCAGCCCCCAGAGACCACTCTTGCCTTTGAATCTTTGAACACACTATGATATAATCACACATGGATCTGGAATTTGGCATAGAGATAGCTTGCTTTTGTGTGTCTTTATTATTTTGTTTACATATGTAGAAAGCCACCCCCAAAGCACAGGGATCGTGCCTTCAGAAGCTCTACACATAGCTGGCACTCTTTAATTATGTTTTGGTTGAGGTAAGCAGACCAGGACTATTTAGCAAAACTAGAGATCACAGCATCAAAATTCTAGGTTTAGAAAGACTTTAAAGAGCTCGTTTAATTCAGCCCCAAATGCCTTCCGGTAGGGTCACATTAACCAAGATAAACAAATTTTCATTTTATTTATACATAGTTTCCCAAATTTTTAAATAATCCTTCTTGCTATTTAACTACACTTTGCCAAAAATTCATTCCTTACAGCTAATTTGAAACCATTGACTATAATAATTTCAGTCAATTTTCTTGTATGCTTCTCTAGCGATGAAAGAATAACTAGTGCAGTATCTAGGTGACCTTAAAAACATTTTGAAATCGTCCCATGGAATTGCCCTGTTTGTGTGCCTGTTTGCTTGTTTTTAGAGAATGAGCATGTGACACTCTTTACCTTCAGGGCTAGGCTGTTCCTCACTCGTCATCTGTGCTGTGTGTTCACCTCCACTCCACTGTGGAAGCATCGTACACATCCCTCCCTGACTAAGAGAAACCAAAGTGTCTAAAGTCCTTTCATTTTCCCTTCTAGAAGCAAGTCCTCAGTATTTGGGAGTGGCAAGGAGGAAAAGTGGCATCCTGCTGCTTACGCTGGTGTCCTTCCTCATTTTCATTCTCTTCATCATAGTCCAGCTCTTCATAATGAAGCTGCGGAAAGCACACGTGACGTGGAAAAGAGGTGTGTGGGCAGAGAACCCGGGGGAAGCTAGAAGATGCCAAAACAATTGGATAGAAAAAACCAAAATTCTTTTCCATTAAATCCTCCGTGATCTAGTTTTTAAGGATGGTCACTCACATAAGCAGTTGTTTGTTGCTGTGTATCTCCAGGGACTACAGTGAAAATGTGTGTAGCTAACTGACACTGGAGCAGGTCTGAGAATTGGCATTAAATTATAGAAGCTTCTATTCACACTTGATGGTAGCCAAAAGGCTGAGAAGTGATAGAAGCTTCTATTCACAAAAGGATACAAAATGAAGAGCTAATTTATTCATTGAATAAGCATTCATTGAGCACCTATCTGCGTGTCAGGCACTATTTCTGGCACTGGGGTTGTATCTGTCAACAAGACAGCCCAGGTCCCTGCTCCAAAGAAGTTCATATTCTTCTAGTGCTGGCCAATCAGAGGTTGAATATAACAGACTATTTTTTCCCCATTCCTACTTCACAAGAATGCACTCAGCTTCACTCAGCCACAATAAATTAGTAAAATGTTTTAAGCATACTGATTAGTCCAGGCACACCTGTAATCCTAGCACTCTGGGAGGTGGGTGCATTGCTTGAGCTCAGGAGTTGGGGACCAGCCTAAGCAAGAGTGAGACATCTCTACCAAAAACAAATAGAAAAAAAACTACCTGGGCGTCATGGCCAGCACTTGTAGTCCCAGCTACTCAGGAGGCTGAGGCAAGAGCATTACTTGAGCCCAAAAGTGTAAGGTTGCTGAGAGCAATAATAATAATGCTGCAGTACTCTCTCTACCCAGGGTGCCAGAGTGAGACTCTGTCTCAAAAACTAAATAAATAAATAAAGCATTCTGATTAAAAAGTTATCATTGTAAGCAAAAAAAATATTATTTAGCTGACATAGAAGATGCCTATTAGAAGATATAGATTCAACATAGATCAGAGCTGGAAGGGACCTAAGAAGTTATTCCAAATAACCATCTTCTCAATTCATTCCATAAACATGTCGCAGGATCAAATCCCCTCCTTAATCCTAAGTGATTATCTAGCTTTGTACTGTCCAATATAGTAACCACAAGATGGCTATTGAGGACTTGACAATACACATAAAATACACATCCTATTTTGGAGACTCTACACACGCACATATGAAAGACTATAATATACCAAATAATAGTATATTGAGCATACAAATAAAAATATATTATTAAATTAACCTCACCTGCTTCTTTTTACTTTTCGCATGTACTAAGACATGTGCATATTTTAAATTACATATGAGTGCTATTGGGCACCCACTAATCTAGCCACATCTGGCTCAAATACTTCTAGGAAGAGAGAACTACTTATGCCCCAAGGCAATATGCTACATCTTTGAATTGCTCTTACTCTCTTAAAGGTATTGCTTGTGCTAGTTTAATATTAGCCTCCCTAGATATTCAGAAGAGCTAATATCTTTATTATACATAGCCCTAGGGACAGAGTCTGATTTTTCAGCTGTTGTGGATGATCAGCAAATGCCATGATATGCAGCATTGTTTCAAAATCTCTTCACTGATGCTTCACCTCAACATCCTTTTAGAAATACTGGAATTTGTCCCTTTCTGAAAGATAATACTTGATTCTAATCTGTGGTCATTTGACTTCTGGGACTCTCATGGTGTCTAGCACAGTGCCCACAGGAATCATAGCAAAGACTAAAACATTATGTGTTGAAATGAATGAGGACATGAGGGCACAATAAGTCCTGTTGTACAGTAACAGATGTCTCATCTTGTTCAAACCTACACTTCTACATGTCTGTGGCACGAGAAATTAACTTAATTTTCTTTTCTTGCAGAAAATGACATTTCAGAAAACACACTAGAAAGTTACAGATCGAGATCAAATAATGAAGAAACATCATCCCAGGAGAAAAATGGCCAAAGTAAGTCAACTGTGTGACCTGAGATCTGTCAACTGAGGTTCATTAATGTATTAGTTAAGGTTCTCCAGAGAGAAAGAATCAACAGGATACACTGAGATATATTTATATGTATATGCATATGCATGTGTGTGTATATATACACACATGAGCTCTGACAATTAAGCTTGTGGACTCATCCTAGAAAAAGTACTACATACCTATTGTTGAATATCACTAGGGTCATCTTCCAAGTCCTCCCCTTGGGAATCTATGCCCTGATACTAGTACCTAGTCTACCCTTCAAAGCAATTTTGGAACTCTTTTTCTGGAATAACCATCAGAGCTGTCATCATACGAGTTCTGATAATTAAGTGTGAAAACTCGTCACTGTGCCTTACATTGGCAGCACTGTGCAAACAACTTGATGAGGTTTGAAAACCTTGTTTTATTAGTAGCTCACAGCTTTGCTCATGTGGACCTGTGGCTGTGTCTTGCTGAGTAGCGTTCGTAATCGTTGTTGTGCATTTGTGTGTGCTATACAATGATAGCTCTGATGGCCATTCCAGAAAAAGAGCTCCAAAAGTGCCTTGTAGGGTAGACTAGGTGCTGGCATCAGTGTACAGCTTCTCAAGAGGAGAATTTCGAAGGTGACCATCATGCTATCTAGTAATGAGGCACGAGGCACGTTTTTAGGGTGAGCTCCCTAATTTGTCATGCCTCATGTATGTGTATGTAGGAATTATTAGGGGAACTGTCTCATGTGATTATGGAGGCTAAGAAGGGACTTGCTGATGCTCAGAGGTTTCACGTCCTCCTGGGTTCAGACCTCCATTTTCATCCTCCTTGCCTCAGGACCCTCAAATCCAGCATTTTAAATGAAATGTTTTGCACATTTAAAAAATACTCTTTGAGCCCATCTCTAGTCTCTTTGTACAGAGTTGCATAGGCTTTGAGTGGTCTGCCCAAACCGTATGTTTCCCATAAGCCCCAGGTTTTGGGGATATTCTTTTGTTTTGGGTTTCTTTATTTTCTTTTTGTGACAGAGCCTTACTCTGTTGCCCCAGCCTAGAGGGCCACAGTATCATCATAGCTCACGACAACCTCAAATTCTTGAGCTCAAGCTATCTTCCTACCCCAGCCTCCAGAGTAGCTGGGACTATAGGCACCTGCCACAACACCTTCCTAATTTTTTCTAGTTTTTGCAGAGATGGGATCTTGGTCTTGCTCAGCCTGGTCTGGAATTCCTGAGCTCAAGGGATCCTTCTACCTCGGCCTCCCAGGGTGCTAGGATTACATGTGTGAGCTATCACACCTGGCCAGCCCTGATATTGTTAGTGAGCAAAAATCTCTGTATATTTTAGATAAGAGTTATTAGTATTTTGTCTAGATAGCAAGACTTTTTAAAAATTAAGAGTCTAAAAATGCCTTCAGACCATTGATATGCATCAGTGAATTTTAGGTTTTTATAAGACATTAACATACAGACCTAAAAATACAATGTCCAATCAACATGCTTCAAATAAACAGGTGCAAAGTTATTTAACATAAACATTCATCTTTGACCCGATTTCCTTTCAGCTTCCCACCCTAAGCGCTGTATGGACTATATCACGAAGCTCTACTCTGATGCAAAAACAAAGAGGAAGGAAAACACACAGCATTCAATGTTAAAAGAAAAGCACACTCAGATACCAGAGAGTATCGTGTAGTGCTCCCTGCAATCGAAAATGTGATTTCAGAGTAGCCATGGTGTCATCTCAGTGGAGCAACCTGTGGGGAGGAGCATGATGACTGTGCTGTGGAAAACAAACTCGGGCTGCAATTCAAGACAACAGCCTCAGCTAATAATCTGCCCCAGAGCCAAGGTGCCAACCTGAGGACCAAACCATGCACGTAAAACTCGTTCTTTAAAAAGAAAAAAAAAAGAGAGGAAGGAAGGACCTACTATTTCTGACACTACTTTAGAGCAGGAAATTCTACTAAGCCTTGAGGATCAAGGGCAACATCTTACCTCAAAGGCAACAGGATTTTTTTTAGATACTTGGCTCTAGTGGAACTGCTTTAAAAATTTTGGTTTTGTTTTAAATGTTTCCTCTGGTCACAAAATAAACCATTTTGAGGTAAATAGAACCTAAAGATCTCTGACCCCAGGAGGTGACTTTTATGTTGTTGTTCAATGTCAGCCTGTCATTTGTACAGGATTCAAAACGACTCTGAGCCTTTATTGAACAAGACAGCCATGGAGTATGAGAGAAATAAAGGCACATGGCATAGAGTTAGCCCAGATGACGTTCACTGGCCGCTGTCCTGGAGTGACCAGAAGGTGGAGGTGATCTCTGGGCCTGTAGTTCTTCAGCCATGTGCTTTGGGGCAACTCCTTAGTCTCTGCGAGCCTAGGAAATTAGTTTCAAGTCAAGCTTAAAGAATATACAACCAGCACCTGCCATGTCAGGAAGAAGCAGTGTTTAATAACAAATGAGTCAGATGGTCATGAAGGCTCCAGCATCATCCAGGCCCCAAGACACAAGAAGTTATCTCAAGGTAGCCCCCAAAGGTTACAATTTCTCATATTCTTTTGTGAAAGCACAAAAGCTAACAAAGTTTTGACCTGGATGTTCCATTACAGAAACATGTACAAAAGAAAAGGATGAGTTTAATTTACTGATTATTGACCTAATGGATGGTTTTTAAACATTAAAGGGCAGAATATAGATTTGTTATTCTAACGGTTGTTCTTCCTACTTTCACATGTGAAAATAACATGTGGCATATTTTTTTTTTTTTTTACAGAGACAGAGTCTCATTTTGTCACCCTCAGTAGTGCCCTGGTGTCATACCTCACAGCAACCTTAAACTCTTGGGCTTAAGTGATTCTCTTGCCTCAGCCTCCCAAATAGCTGAGACTACAGGCACTCGCCACAATGCCCAGCTATTTTTGTAGTTATCATTGTTGTTTTTAGCAGGCCTAGGCTGGGTTCAAACCCACCAGACCTGGTGTATGTGGCCAGCGCCCAAACCACTGAGCTATGAGTGCCAAGACAAGCATGTCTTTTTTTTTTTTAATTTATTTTTTTTTATAAAACAATGGTTCCTTTTTTTTTTTTGAGACAGACTTTCATTCTATTGAGCTAGAAGGCAATGGCATCATCATAGCTCACTGCAACCTCAAACGATCAAAAAATTACAGAAAACACAAAGAGAGCAGGAAGCTCTCTTCCCTCTGAACTGCTTGAGAGCAAGTTGATATATTTTCACCCTCCAAGCAGTTTAGTGTGTATTTCCTGCAAACAAGACACTCTCCTTTATAATACAACCATCAAAATCTGGAAATGAACACTGCTACATTTCTAATAACAGTCCTCACACTCCATGCAAGTTTTCCCAATTATACCAGTTGTCCACAGGGTCCAGTTCAGAATCACACTTCATTTTAGTCTCGTTCAGTTTGGAACAGTTCCTGGCTTTTCTTTCATGACCTGGGTATTTTTGAAGATTATAGGCTAATTATTTCGTAGACTGTCCCTCAGCTTGGCTTTGTCTGATGTTTCCTTGTGATTAGATTTGAGTTATGCAAGTTTCATCCTACTAGCATGCGACTGATGTTATGCTTATTTCATTGCACTTTATTTATCCCATTATTGATGGAGTTCACTTTGAACACTTAATTAGTGTCTGCCAGACTTTCTGAGGAGCTGTTTTAAGACTTCAGATACCCTGTTCCACATCAAACTTTCATGTTATCCATTTATTCATATCCATATGGTGTATGTGTGTGTGTGTGTACACACACACACTCTTACTGTATGGTTTCCTCTGCTATTCAAAGGGTTAAAATCTATTAGGGCTGGGCACAGTGGCTCACATCTGTAATCCTAGCACTCTGGGAGGCCAAGGCAGAAGGATCTCTTGAGCTCGAATTGGAGACCACACTGAGCAAGAGCAAGACCTTGTCTCTACTATAAATAGAAAAACTAGCTGGGTGTGGTGGTGTACACCTGTAATCTTAGCTACTATGGAGGCTGAGGCAAGAGGATCTCTTGAGCCCAAGAGTTTGAGGTTGCTGTGAGCTATGATGTCACAGCACTCTAGCCTGGGGCAACAGTGTAAGACTCTGTCTCAAAAAAAAAAATAATCTGTTACTATCAAACTAATGTCTTGCTAGTTTGATGATCAAATTATGGAAGCTAGCTTCTGTGTCCTTTTGACATGTGCTCTCTAATCTTGGAACACTTCCTTACTTTCTTAAACACAATATTCCAGACTCATCTTAAACTTTTCCTATTGCAATCCTGGAATCAACCATTTTTTTTCAAGAATCCCTGGTCCCATTTAGTGCCAAATGGTATTTAGAAGCCCAAATCAAGGTATTTGGTATTCTCATTGCTTTTGCGATATCATCACCCTCAAATCCCCTCAGTAGACAAAGCTAGGGAATATATGACAATGTGTGTGTTCATACATAGTCTGTGTTTGTGTGTGTATATATTTAAATATAGCTGCTGAAAACCATGAGTTTATTGGAGATTTCTCCCTCTGTGTAGCTCCCTTAATTGAGAAACACAGCTTTTATTATCCTCAATATATTTGCTTTCTTCCTCAATCCTCTGTATATAACCTATCTCCCATCTTTGCTACCATCCTGTTATCCTTGAAAATGTTCTCTTCCTGCCCAGGCCCTGCCTGACTCCCCATGCTGTGCTCCCTTCCTTGCCCCTACCATGTGGGTGACCTCCACACCAAGCTTGGGCTCTGACACCCCGCCCCACACCAGGTCGTCCCACTGTCCCTTAGCACACATGTATGCATGAGTATGCACACACACACTGCTCCATGTAACTTCTCAGCCACACAAAATGCTGGGCAGCCCTCTGATTAATACCCCTGTCTAGGCCCCTACAACTTCCCCACCCATGTCATGGTAGACACCTACTTTGCTATACCCCACCTAAAGACTTTAGGACTGAACTATTCAGGGGAAGGGGAGGCGTTAGAAGGGGAATGAGTCAGACATTCTGCTCCAAGAGAGTTTTAATGTGAAAAGACGTCAAGATTAGGCACATCACTTATCATTTGGTAAGCAGTTCTGAGTCAGAAAACATTCACCAAGCCATTAGTATTCTGAAAATAATCCAGAGGGGAAAACACATTCCCTTCAAATATGGTGCTTTTCATGGTTGATTACACCTGGCTCCTATATGGGCTACTTTGAGTCTATGTTTGCACATTTACCCTCCCAAAGGATGTTTATTAGGACTGCTTCCATTTCTCCAGTTGCTTTATTTAAGAGGCCAAATGATCGTGATCATGCCAGCATTTCAGTAACGTGCTAAGCTGAGGGGAGCCAACTTAGCCAATTGTCAGAATCAGCTAAGAGGATTTCATATATCAGATTCCTAGATTTGCTCTCAATGATTGGTCTCAGTAGACCTTTGGAATCTGTATTTTCTAAAAAGCTCCCTGAGTGATTCTAATAGGTTAAGGAACTCCGATGGAGCACAAACCAAAACTGTTCAAAGCACAGTTGAGTAGAGACATTATCTTTAAGGTAACCATAATCTCAGACCATAATCCTGGCATGGAATTATACCCCAGATGCTGGCCACTTTCTGTGGTCAGTGAACATCTAACTTGCACACTATCTAACTAAGACAGAAAAAATAAAAATGATATTTGCAGAGTACAAACTATGAGTCAGACACTCTTTATGGGTATTCTCATTGAAACACCATAATAATTTTGCAAGGTAGGTGCTATAATAAATATTTGACACATTAGAGATGCTCTAAATTCTACAAAACAGCTTAGGAGACTACTAAGATTATATAATCAGCTGAAGGTAGACACCAAAGGCTGATTAGGCTTTGTCTGAGTTCAATGTCGTAGCCTTTTGTTGCTAAATTATGACTCCAGGGGAACATTTAAGACAACATGAGATGTTGGGTGGCTATATCAACACCTTTCATGTGTCCTTCCACACTCTCCATCCTTTTCTACTTGCTCAGTGCCCTGGTAGACTGATACCTGGTGCTACATCAGTGGGCTCCCATGGGGATTGTACAGTTCCAGCAGGGGAGCAGAAAATACCACACGTCCAAGGTTCCAAGGGACTAACTATGTCTCCTGACTAGAATCACAACTCTGCTCAAGCAGAACCATCACTGAGTTCTGGAATCTACTTATTTCCTTCATCACATCAGGTTCAGAGGAACCCTCCACTCTCTTTTGTGAACCTCCCTGCAAAGCTTTGTATTTAGTTCATTTATAACGTCTCCTACATTGCCCAATTTAAGGATATTATCTATCTTCTCCAGAGACAGTTATATTTATAGATTCCTTGCATTCCCAACAAACAGGAATCTAATTTTATAGATAATTACAGAATATTATAATATGGAGGGATTTTAGAGTTCATCTCAAGCATTTCCCAAAATGTATTTTGAGGAGTCTGGTGTCCTAATAATGTTAATATGTGTTCTGCGAAGAAATAAAAAAGTTTTCTGGAGTCAAATAAGTTTGTAAGCATTAGTGTAGTAAAGGCTCTCAAGAGTCATCACATGGCTTGGCACCCATAGCTCAGAGGTTGGGGCACTGGCCACATACACCAGGGCTGATGGGTTTGAACCTGGCCCAGGCCAGCTAAACAACAGAGAAAACTACAACAAAAACCATTGTTCTAAGAAACACAATTTGGAAAACATTGATCTGGAGC